CAAAACTGCAACGGGGACACTTACTGCGTCACACAGTCACACGATCGACAACCGGATGTTGCCGCGGCGAAAGCCACGAAGAAGACAACAGGAAGTAGTTGGAGAATGACAGGACGTTTTTAATAACTTATCGCCAGAACAAACTTATTCGCCTGTGATATTAATCGCCTTTCTCATTTAATAGAAACAGTGCAATTGCAAACTTTAGATTTTTCGACATTAGCGGAATGTTGACAGAGTTTTGCGCATATTTGTAATGGGGACACAGCTAACACAAGGACTGCTTCCGCAATTATGTAGATTGATCAGTGTGTTTCCGTGTTTAACAAAACTTAAATGGGGAAACATTCACCAGTAAAAACGTAAAATAGTTAATAAATATGGATATGGTTAGTGGATAAAGTCATTTGACATTTCCTCCCTTTTACTAATCCTGCAGTTTTAAACCACGTATTGCACGTTTTTCTCACCGCCATATCCTTTTTAGCCATCACTTCAGCAGCTTCATTAGCATGAGCCTTGCTGACCAACCCAGCCTGAAAGGTTGTGCATGATTGACAGATGTGATGTGCTTAAGAGCTGGCCAATTAATTCTGACAAACGGCTCGACGTATTCAACATCACGATGTGCAGCAGCATGAAATGAGCTTTAATTACCGCAGGCCATCGCAGGTCTGATATTACTCTTGCTCTGTTGCGCTTCAGCAGACAAGCCTCACGTTTGTTTTGTAGATTAGCTCAAAGTGTTCTTCTCAGCAGATCTGTGAGGACTGAATAGATGATGTGGAACAAATTCAGCCATCTTTGGATTTGTAGTGTTTGGACATATTTGAGTGGCGTTATGAAGTTCATGTTGCCGCAATGCCAGTTTATTTGCATATAGGCTATTATGTTTTTATTAGGATTTAGCTAAAATAACGGTAGTGTGCACTTTGACGTCCGACTTAAGTCTTATTTTCTTGTTTGGTAAAAAGTCTCTGCTTCAGTTCGCCCGGTTTTATGCTTTCATTCGTGTCCGTTTTTTTTTTTTTTACTTTTTGCATTTTGTACAAGTATTTTGGTTTACATTTATAAAATGCCTTGTCCCGGTCACCCATAAGTGTGAGATTGTTCATGTTGTTTGTAAGTAAAAATAGATTTTTTTCTTTGCGAATCGACCTTTTACCAACCCAACTAACCTTTTCACACTAATTACCAACGAGCTGTTTATTTGAATCTGAATGTGATTCGGATTTTATTTGAATTTAAACCTGTTTTGTCTTTTCAAAGCGCCATTTTATCAGGAGGTGTGAACTAGTTATATCTTAGTTTAATTTTATTCTATATAAATAAACTGACTGAAGTCACAGATTAGCATTTGCTTACATCTTGTGTAGTTTTTAATTTTTGGAAGAGGATTTTTCATATATTTAATCGATAAAATGTGAGTTTCTGCCATAATATGGTCAAATAAATGGGTTCTTTGATGTTTGCCTTTTTGTTTTTAGTTTATTGCTTATGAATGTTGGTGATTTTGGCACCATTACGGTGAAATCCAGTTACTAGACTCTGAAAGACCGTGACTGCCACCTTGTGGTCTGATTGGACCAACGCACGTCAGAAAGCTCCCCTAATGACCTCTGTCCTGTTCTGGATCAGATTGCTGAATGAAGAACCTGAGCAGTATATTTAATATTTAACAATATTATATATTGGTATTAATAAAAAAACATAAAGTTTTGGTGTTTTTTTTATTATCACAAATTAATACATATTTAATACTAATATGTTTGGCATCAAATGAGATTCCAGGAATGTTTTTTTGATGTAAAATTGAGATGTTTGGCCATTTTGTTTAAAGAAATCCAAATGTATATAAAACCAACTCTCCAGCACGGTTCGGGATTGGTTTGTTTAGCAGATTTTAGTTTATATGTAATTTTTTTATAGTTTATGGATCTTTTTTATAATGTGATACATAAAACCAAATAAAAGAGCAAAATCACTACTTCAGAATTTTATTTATACTTTTTGTGTAAATCTAAGTGTCAAATCACAAGCAGACAGGAAGTCACTCAGAGATGCTGTCTTACATTTTATTGTGATGGGGAGTCATAAAAATGGAGCAAACCTAAAATAAAAACCATACAAAAAGACAGTGGATTTACAAAGGGTTGTATAGACAAACATTATGCAGCCTTCAACGGTACAATGGAAAATACAAAGTTGGCACACAACAAAAGACAGGGCGGCGGGACGATGCAGATTTGGCTTGATAAAATAAAAAAAAGGAGGATTAACGACTTCATAACTAGATCCTTCATAAAAACGGCGACGACTCATGCGTTTAAAGTCACAGAATTCAGTAGCTTAATAACGACGGATGCACATGTAACAGTTTCTATTTCTCACTTCATTCCTGTCTTTTTTTTCCTTTATTTTCTCAGCTTAAAACAAAAGTCAAGTTTACAGAGTACACTTTTTTTTTTTTTTTTTTTTACTATTTTTTGTTAAAACAAACTTCATCTCCCAGAACCACATTTTGGGATTCTTGTTTGCCTCAAGAGTATTTTTTCATACTAAAATATATTATTGTATCAATTCAAACTACAGTAATGTACACTACAATGTGTAATAAATAAGCATAAAAGAAAATATAAAAATAAGACACATAAATATAAAAAAGTTTTCTAAAAACTAAACCGGATTTTTTTTTCTCCTGTGAAAAGGGTTCAAATACTGCTGTTATTGACAAAAACACATAAAAAGCAAAAGAAAAAGAAAAGAAAAAAGGGACAGAAAACAAAAGCACTATAAAACACTGTTTGGGTAAAAACAACTCAAAACTCTTCAGAGACCACATTCACTAATGTTTGTTACCTGAAGTGCGGGACAGCTTATCACAGTTCTTCTGTTTTTGAGGAAAAACAAGTGCACAAGAGAGAATCTGCTCTAATTCATTAATATTTCTAATATCTCTCTCTTTTTTTTTAAAACCGGATTAGGAAAAAAAAAACACTCCCATATCAAGCTAAACATCAAACTGAGAACATTTTACGGCTTTAAAGGTACAGGACAACGCTGAGTGGCAAAACAACCCATTAGGAACAGATGCAAGAACTTTATCCTTTCTCTATATTGTGTCATTTTTAGATCAGAAATCAGTCATAAACAGCCATACATTTCACAAAAATAATTTAAACTGGATTCAATTGAATCTATCTTCTTTTATTCTGCAATATGGAAATTACTACTTTGATTAGGCTCCTTTTTCTTCATTCCAAAAACCACCACAGTAAATCCTTACCACTGCCTCTTTAGTCATCACTCTTATGGGTGCAATTGGAAATATAAAACATTTTTCCTAATGTGTTTGAGAATAGTTTATTGGTTACCACCAATTTAAAAAGTAGGCTCGTTAAGGGTGGGAAAATTAAACAACTGACACAGCAGGAACACAAAATCCAAAGTATTTTAGTCTAGTTTCCAGAGCAAATATCTTAGTACACTTGGAATAAGACAAAACTGAGAAGTAACTTTCCTGGTTTAAGTCAATAATTCCTTAATATTGATGAAAAAGTTCTGGCTGTAAGAGAAATAATCTGCCAGTGGAACAAGAACTTTTTCCCATAGAATAAGCTAAAATGTTTTTGTTCCACTGGCAGATTATCTCACTCATATCTAGTACTTTTTCATTAATAATTAGAAATTGTTGACTTATAATAAGTTTTGTCTTATTTCAAGGGTACAAAGATATTTGCTCTAGAAACTAGACTAAAATAATTGGAAAGACTTTGTGTTTTTGCAATGAAACTATATGCATGAAAACAAAAAGCAAAAGGTTCAAACCGTCATTTCTATTTTAAATTTATACGAGCTAAAGTGGCAGTTAAATATAGGTTTGAATAAACAAAGATTAAAAAATAATTTTATCAGAAAACAAAGTTTTTCATTAACGAGGCGCCTCAGACTTTCTTTCTAGAAAAGTTCTTGTCTGGTAATTTGACAGTATTTATACACAAAAAATAAAAAACAAACATTTTTTATTCATACTGTAGCTAAAATGTTGCATCATATTGATATGAACATTTATAAAAATGCTATTGTATAACAATATATGAGCTGGTTAATTAGTCGGGCTATCTGCTCAGGTTAGTCAGCCCGCAGTCTGATGCAACTTCAGCTTTAAAGCAGCGTTATTTTGATAAGACAGTAACAGTCGTGCTATAGTGGTTTTCTCATGCTATTCTCTGCTGACTGGCAGTGCGCAGCAACAAGTGGGGGAGGAGAAATCAAACGTTTTCAGTCAAACCATTCATACGTCTGGTTTCTCCAGGACTTTCTCTGGTACTTCTGTAAATGACTTGAAATGTTAAGATAGAAACCTTTAGTGGCTTTGAAACTGTAAAGGTTTTAATATTTTTAGCATGGGTTGACATGGCAACCGGAGCATCCTGGCTCCTGAGTTTTCTAAATCTTCATTCTTTAAGGAAAAGTTTGCATCAGGTCTGAATGGGTTTAGTTGACTTAACAGCTGCTTGGTTACTTTCAGCAAAAAACATTACATGGTAAGCTTTGCTAGTGTATTATTATATTTCATCAAATGATTATAACTATAGAGAACAAAACTCATTGTGATAAAATATGCTGCAGTTGCTTAGTCATTGATGCATCCTATGATATTTGAAAAGATCTTGTATTTGTGACAAGTTTGCTGTTCTGTGCGCGCTAACAAACATTAACCAACATGGGTGGTGTGTAAATAAGAGAGGAACATAATACTGGCTACATGTGAAGAAGAAGAAGAAATAACACTGTTCAATGGCACTTTTAACAGCACACAGGTCTTGCATAAGGCTGGAGGCATCGGGGTGGAGCAGGAAGCAACCTGATCCTTCACATACACTTCAAATGTAAGCTGATAACACTGACACGGAGACAATAAAGTGGAACGGAAAAGCAGGAGAAGATTGATAGGATTGTGTGTGTGTGTGTGTGTGTGTGGGTGTGTGTGTGTGTGGGTGTGTGTGTGTTTTGGACCCGAAGACGAGCCTGGAGGCGGAGCTCTTCTCCGGTCCGTCCACAGAAGTGCCGATGCTGGCTTTGAGGTTGACCTTTTCTTCCCTGATTGGACTAATTTGGTTATGGCAAACAGAAGCCGCCTTCTCCTCCCCGTCCCGTCCCGTCCCGTCCCGTCCCGTCCCGTCCCGTCCCATCCCGTCCCGTTCCCCCCACCCCATCCCCAGGAATACCTAGTTTTCCTTAAGGCTAACAGTCGAAACTGAAAACAAACAGAACGCCAGCTAGCAAAGACTAACACTAACACAAACAACATCCCGCTAGCTAGCGTACATATACAACACTGAAGGGCATACGATGCATGAGGCATGTATCCATAGGTAAACTAGGAATACTGTAGTGCAGAGGTTTTTGTTCGTCAAACTCAATTAAATACTGATTTAGGAAAATTCATTGGCAATAAAAAGGTATAGAAATCTTTCTCTATACAGGTTAAAATGTCTTCAAACAAGAACAAGATTAGTAACACTGACTGGCTGAGGAAAAGAAAAAAAACAAAAACCTGGGAAGTCTCAGTAACAAGTCTAACAAGATGATAGATGGTACTACTTCAAATCTGTACTTCTATAAACACTTTAAAACATGAATATTTTACTTTTCACAAATAAAAAGTCACTGTCTTTGTTTTTTCTAAGTTCAGGCACACCTGGGTTTTTGTACACAGTAGTGGACCGTTAAGATTAGGCAACTTTCAGACTTGCTGCTTCTTGATGTGGTTTTTGTCTGAAATGACTTCGACTGAGGAATCAGGTTCCTTCATTTCGTTTTCGCCGCTTCCTGCGGCTCCTCAGTGCTGTCCGATTCCTCCTTCATGACTTTGTCTGTTTCTGCTTCGCAGTCTGCCCGTTTCTCTGCTGCTGCGCCCGCCGGTTCCTCCTTTTCTTCGCGTTTCCCCTCCGACGTGCCGTTCTCCGCGTGTTCGTTCCCCAGCTCCACTTCCACCACGTCACAAAAGAAATCCTGTCCCTCCCCCTGCGCCTGCCCAGCCTCCGTCTCTTCCTCCTCCTCCTCTTCCTCGTCGTCGTCGAAGTTGCCCTCGTAGATCTCGCACTCGCCGTCGTCCACCTGCACCACCCGGATGTCGTCCACGCACATGGCCTCGTCGTCCTCCTCCTCGCTCTCCCGCTCGTCCGAGTCCATTTGGGACTGCGGCGTCGTGGTCCGGCTGTCTGACAGCGCGCCGCCGCCGGGGCTGCCCAGCTCCAGCTGACCCCTGCGTGACTCCAGGCCGGAGTCCAGGATGGACCAGTCTTTCTTGCAGTAGGAGTAGCGGTGGTTCATGTGCTGCGAGTACGAGCCCGAATGGGAGAAGCGCTTCCCACATTTGTCGCACTGGTAGGGTTTCTCGCCGGAGTGCAGCCTGGAGTGTTCGATCAGGTGATGTTTGTGTTTGAAAGCTTTATTGCAGATGGTGCATTCATGGGGCCGTTTTCCTGCAGGAGAAACAAGCGTCAGGAGGACACACTTCCAAAACCCAGAACTGTATTTTAATAGAACATTTTGCTCTTTACAACCCTAAAGCTAACCTGACTAAAGCTGCTTATAGTAGAGGTGAGTGATGTGGACTTAGAATTTTATCACAATGTTTTCTACTATTGTGATAACAATGAAAATGAAGATAAATTAGTTATTGCTTCTTTTCTTAGGAAACATTTCCATTTAAAACAGGCTTCTTCAGTTACTTAAAGAGTGATTTATGTCACTAAACTGTTCACAGTATTTTACTGATGGTCACAGTGGAGAAAATAGTGAAATCAACATTTCCAATAAAGCTGTCAGTTTTAGTTTTATCTTAACATCATTAACTGAAATGTATCCTGGTGACAATAAATCAAAATCCTTATCATGATGAATTAGTTGATAAGTATTTCAGAGATCCATTCATCACAATTAATCAGCCCTAACAATTAGTGTCATGGAAACTTGTAGTAGCTACAAAACATCTGTTGAATGTTTTTACATTTTAATCACATTCCAACCATAAACTTTATCATATTTTATTGGGACTTTGTGATCTCAACTGCAAACCTACACGTAAACCGACAGGATCAGAAAGGAGAGCAATAATCAGAGAAGAAGAAAAGACGCCCATGGCGAGCCAACCTGTTCTAGGTTTGTGAGAAATAAGAGACTGAAGAAATTGTTTGATTTTTTTAGTTAGTTTTAGATGTTTGGACAACAATGTATTAAATTTCCCAATTATATTTTTGAGCATTACTTCATGTGCAGTTAAAACAAGTTTGTATTGTTGCATGCGTATTGTTCAAGCAATAAAGTTTTTATCTGTAGCATGACTAAAAGTGAAAACATGTAAACAGGAGTGAAAAGTACTGCATGTTTATAATGGGTGACTGGAGTTTTAGGGTCGCTTCCCAGAGTGAAGTTGAGTCAGTTTTGAATCGTCAGACTGCATGAAGTGTGGGAGGAATACCTGTGTGTTCATATTTGTGTCTGAGCAGCGAACTGCCCTTCTGGAAGACCTTGGAGCAAAGATCACAGGGATAGACGCCATTTTCCACCCGCCGCTTCTTGCTGTCCTGCTCCTCTGCAGAGGAAGCCCCGTCAGTGTTGCTCTCTGAACGTTTCTCCTGCACAACAAAACACGTTTCCTAAATCTGGGTTCCCACGCGTTTCCATTAAATGACCCCCAAACAGCATTAGCTTCTGGCTGGGAAACAAACAGACAAGGCTACAAAATATGTCAAGTAACTTTTTTCACTTTTACTCACTATTCAATAATTATTACCTTTGCTTAGCATAAATGCTGCCTAATTCCTTCAGATTTTCCTTTGCTTCTTTTTGTTTGATTTTTTTTCTCAAAAACTTGCAAACTTGCATTTTGCGCTTGCTATGCCAACTATGCTAACTTGAGTAATGCAGCTTTATAAATTTGACTGGCAGCCAATCAGAAAGATGAGAATGGCAAATAACATTTCAATAAATTATTTATAATAATTATAGAGAAATTGCAACAGAATGTAGTGACACATCAACAACAAAAAAAACATTTAAGAGAATGAATTCATATGAAATAGCCAAAATAATATGAGACTCGTCACAATATTAAGATTTTATTCACAAAATATGACAACTTTATTCTCGTATTATTTTTGTACAAGCTCTCTTAATATTAGGAATTTATTCTCATAATTTTATGACTTTATTTTTGTAATTTTTCTTTTTTATTTGTTCTTAGCATGACCCTAATTCTCTGTTGTAAAAAAATTATTTTTGAAAAAGATTTTGGATGTGTTGCACTGAAATGCAAATTTCCCTGTGGTGTTAATAACATATAATCATTCAATCATTGGATTTTATGATTTTAAAAATAATTAGATTAATTTTTTTTTGTTTTTTTAAATAAGATAAAATTTTTTTTAACATTTTTCCATCTCTTCCCTCCAGTTTTCTGGGGCCCGTCTCCTGCCTCCTTTGCTCCCCCAGGATCCCGCGACCCCCACTTTGACAAACACATTCCCTGAATGACCAGAGAGGAGACGCAGTGTGGAGCTGAGCCCCACCAAGCTGCAGCAGTACCAACCTTATGGCCGTTGAGGACGACAGTCTTGGCTCCGGCGGCGTTGCCGGTGGCGGCTGCGTAGGTGTAGGTGAGCTGGGGGATGAGGATGGTGCGTTTTGTGGTGGTGTTGATGGCGCCGAGGCAGCCCACCGTCCCCTGACCGGCGATGGCCACCAGGGTGGGCAGCTGGGCGGCGGTGACGATGTTGACGGGATTGGTGCTCTGAGGCGTGGTGACGAAGAGCGTCTGGCCATCCTTCCTCAGGCAGGTCAGGTTCAGAGGATGCTCCTGCTGCTTTGGGGGAGGCGTGGCTTTCTTTTCTGATGGTGGGATCTCATGTTTGGGGAGAGAGAGGTCCAGAGGTTCTGCTTGGGAGTCTGCTTCCTCTGGGTCTTCTGGCTCGCTTTTGACGATCACCAGATCCCCGCTGAGAGACAGAGAGTCTGACGGCGAGCTGGCGCGGGATTGAGGTCGGTCACTTTCCTCCTGGCTGCCGTTCTCATCGTTATTCAAAGTCTCCTCTGAGCTGGAGTTTGTGGTTTTAGTCTCTTCTGGAGGATCTGACGACTCGGTGGGACATTTACTCATGTTTTTCCCAGAATTCATCTTGATGAACCACTTCTTGACCACTTCTGTGGGAATATTGACAGACTTGGAGATCTTCATCAGCTCCTCTTCACCGGGGTTGGCGTTGGAAGCGAAGTAAGTTTTGAGGAGCGAGAGGAGGTCTTCCACTGGCGGCTCCTCCAGCATCACGCCGGCCTCGCTGAGCAGAGCGGCAAACGACGGGTCCAACGCGGCCGAGTCCACGGCCTCCCCGTTGGCAGCTTTGCGATGCTGCAGGAGATGCAGCGCCTCCAGGTTATCGGGACAGTCGTCGCACAGTAAACACGTACTGCTGCTGCTGGATTTGGGTACGTTAGCTGGTTCCGACTCCTTCACGGTTTCTTCCGCCGTTGCCTCCGTCTTTGTGTCTTTCATGGGTTCTGCTACTGGATTTTTCTTCAGACTGAGGTCCGTTACCTCAGGCGTTTCGAGATGATCCGTTTTTGTTGCGGTCGGGGCGGCAGCTGCTGCGGTGGTGACAATGGGAGCAGGGGGAAGGTTGTTTTTGATGACGAGCGGCGTGGGCAAGGCGGCGGCGGCGGCGGTGCCGGCTGCAGGGCTGATGCTGTAGTTGATGATGATCTTTGTGGTGCCGTCGTGATCCACGAAGGCGGGGAGGCTGATGATCTGCTGCTGAGGCTGCTGGACTACGATTCCCTGCTTTCCTTGCGCCACAACGCCGTTGGCTGAGCCCAGCACCTGCCTGAGCACGTTTCCGTCCATCGCCACCTTCAGCACGCTCTGCAGGTCGTTCAGATTGATGCTGACCGGCGACATGAGGCCCACCGTTGGGACGACCATGGCTACGCTCTGAGGGATGGCTGCCGCCGGGGCTGCCGCTGGCGGCGCTGCCCCGCCGTTCACCACGCCGTTGCTGCCGGTTGAAGTCGCCGGCGCCGCCATGACCGGCTTGCACTCGTATTCCACAGGCTCGGATTTGATCTGGGTGACGGGCAGCTGCTCCTGGAGCGGTTTGCTTTCAGTCTTTTCTTTGACAGGAAGTCGTGCTGGAGCGATTGCGACAGGTTTAGTCTGAGTGCTTGGAGACGTGGTCTTCACCACCGTTACAGTCACACTGTTCTGAGTTGCTGCTCCCACACACTTCTTGCTACTGATGTGGGAGCTGTAGGAGCCAGAGTGGGAGAATCGCTTCTTGCAGTTTGAGCATTCGTATGGCTTCTCACCTAAAAAAACAAACAAATAAAAACTCCAGCTCAGAGAATTAACTTTAAAATGCTGTTATTACTTTATAAATCACTGAACTCAACACAGACGCCTTTATTCAACTGAATGTTCACAAATTAGTGCTCTAGAGTTTATCTGGAAAAATTGAAGCTAAGTGCGCTAAATGTTTTCAAAGTTAGCAAAACCAAAATTTAACTCTGCTATTAGCACATTAGAATAAAAGCAAGAGTAATTATTTTACAAAAAAGAAAGATTCATGTGATATTCTAATTCTTTCTAGTTTCATTGTCTTTCATCTAAAATATATTTAAACATTACAGGTTCAGAGAGTACTTTTGGTGTTAAAGTCACAGTTTGGGACATAAATGTTGGTACTGTGAGTGTTTGAGCAGCTGAGTGTCTGGTTTCTCCTTACCGCTGTGAATGCGCAGGTGTTCCTTTAGGTGGTGTTTGTATTTGAAGGCCTTTGAACATTCGGTACACTTGAACTTGCGGGTTCCACCTGTACCTCCTGATCCTGCTGTGGACTGGGAAACATGACGCTGAGACGGAAAACACAAGTCTCCTTAGAATCAATTTGCACAAATTAAAAACAGTTAATTTTTTCTTTCTGCACTCAAAAACAGTTTCCAACCCAAAGCAAAAAGCAGACTTAATGCAGTCAAAAACTACCTGCATACTACATGCCTGTAAATGTGCAATATGCATGTTTAATGTCTTTAGCAGTGCATGTTGCACTGGACTGATCGTATTTTTAATTTCAATGATAATACAATTTCTATTAATTTCAGAATTAAGTTGTAAAAACACCAGAAAAAAGTAAAGAACAAATTAAAAATGTTAATTTGGGTTGACATTTCACTGAGTGTTAGACACATGCAGCTTTAGTGCATACACTAAATAAAAAGACACAAATACTTTTTTCTCGTTGTTTTAAGTTAAATTAAACAAAACTCATCTTGTTTTATGACAGAATTACCCAAATTATTTCTTTTTCTAAATGCCACAATAATGAGAAAGTTTTATTATTTAATGTTGACCATAACAGAATAAATTCATCCCTGCTGATCCAGAAGAGGCCTGGAGTTTGTTTGGAGCTCATCGGACAGATAGTTCTGAGTTTAGCCCACAGCATTTTCATTGTGGGACCAATCAAGCAGTAAAAGGATTCACACACACACTCTCTCTAATCAAACCCATCAACTCCTGCTGGAGCTGCTGGTGGTTTGATTTCCAGAGCTGATCTGGGTCTCACTGTGGTGCCCTGCGGCCTTGTTAAGACGTGTGAGCTGACACCTTTCGGGCTGAGAGGTGTTACCTGCTCCTTGTTGCCTCGGTGGTGGCTCATGTGCCTCTCCAGCTGCGAGCGGTAGGTGAAGGTGTAGCTGCACTGCGAGCAGCTGTAGTTGTCCTCGCTGGTCTCGTGGCGGTACTTAATGTGCTCCTTCAGCGAGGCGTTGCGTTTGTAGCCCCGAGAACAGTACGGGCAAATGTGCAAGTGGGAGAAGCTGTCGGGTGTGCCTGACGAAGAGGAAACTTCTTTAGATTTGTCATCCTGTATCTGATTCGGTCTCCACAGAGGAAATGCCAATTTTGTATGTTTCTTTGGTGCTATTTTTTATACTTCTCCTGACATTTAAGCATGAAAACTTTCCTCTGAAAACAGTCAGAATCACATATCTGCACAAATCAAATCAAAATTACCAGAGTTGAAGTACAGCTATTTACTTAATAAGAAAAATGAAAATAATTTGATTTAGCATAACTTTATGCATATAATGTGCTTGGAAATTGTATAAAAAATGATAATGGCCCCTAAACTAGAGTTAGTTTAACCTTAACAAACAGAGTAAGTTCAGATGTGAAGCACCTTCTTCATTTTAAATAGTCAGCAAGTTGAATTAAAACGTGGCTTTTAAATATAAATATATTACTTTAAAGGTTAGAAATTTAGTGTTTTGTTAGCCTCATAGACATATTTTGGCCAAATCAGAACACCTGTTACAAAATCCCTTTTTTCCATATTTTATCCATGTTTTTTCCTGATTATCTAAAATGTTGAAATATAACTTCGGAAATTATGCTATGAGGCTATTAGTTTGGTAGATTGTCTTTCCTTAATCACAATGATTCTGAGTGATAAACTGAAAAACCTGAAAGTGTTTATTTTCTCATCCCACAACAAAACAGATTCACATGGTTATGAACTCTATAACTTTCTGCTGTAACATTCAGAGCCACTTCACGCAGTGAAAGGACAGCTGCAGGTAAAAAGCATCGCTCTGACCTCCAGTCAACAGCTCTTCAGCGTCGCTCTCGAGTTTAACACTGTAAATGTCTGAAGGGACTCTCATCCAACACTGTGCTTCACTTTTCACCTTGACATCAACTAGTTCAGCGTCTTGTTTGGAATCAGAAAATGATGTTTGGTATTTCCATGTGATGAAGCAGAAAGGTGAACACGCAGAGCGGTGTTTTGTTACCGTTTTCATCAGCGTCTCCCGTCTCGGCCGGACTCTGCTCGTCCTCTGGAGCTTCAGGATAAATGATGGCGGTGTCGCTCTGCTGGAGAATCTCCTCCACTAGAGCGTCCTTCACCTCCTCGTCCTCCTCCTCCTCCTCCGACACACACTCCTCCTTCACTGAAACACACACACACACACACAGACGAGGTTCATTTCAGCAGCGGAGGAGTTTACCTACACACAGACATGATCCTCAAATAGAAACCGCTGGATGGAAGCTTTTGATCTTCTTTCTGTTTCAGTGATTAATTGCAAAACTTCTGCTAACGTTTTTCAAATGATAATTAATTAAATGTTATTACCACATTAAGAGTCATTTTAGACATGTTTTAGACATGTAAAGTTTTTAATCAGTCCTAATTCAATGTGGATCTGAAGGACCACCACTAGGGAGCGCCAAACTACTTCTTCTAATAACCAAACAACTTGACTCCAGATTAATTAAAACAATGTATATTACAAAAGAGGAAAAAAATAAACTAAACAAAAAGAAAAAACAGTATCTTAACCCACTTATGTTAACCAATTAAATTGTTGTGGTGATGCCACCTGGTTATGTTCTGTGTTTTGTCTTGCCTTAAATATTTTCATTTTAATTTGTACTTTTTTGTGGTGTTTTTACCTTGATTGTTCTCTTTGCTCATCTAGTTGGTTATTTGTAGATTGTTACCTCTGTCTGCTAGCCTGTAATGCTTGTTTTGTACGCACTGATTGGTAAAATATGAACAAAAAACCTGATCAACTGTTGAGACCCTGAACAATTTTTTGATGTTAATAAAACTGATAAATGTTAACTTACAAGAAGAAGAAAGTTTAGGATGACATTTAAAATAATCAGGGACTGGTTTCATATCATCAGTCACTTAAATTACGTTGTTAGGCTTGTTGTAAAAAATAAAAGTCTTAAAAAAGAGAAAATCTTATTCATTTGTATTTGTATTTACAATAAGGAAAGAGTGTGCTGCATCATTATTATAATAAAAAGCTCAAAATGTATTAGAAAGTGCTTAGGAACATTTTTAAAGGAGTAGCTGATAGCTTAAGTGCTTTTAATTTGAAACATCATCAAGAAGGATTTGGGTCATGAGACAGAGACTTTGTCCAAAGGTTTTAGATTTTACTTTTCTTTTTAAGATCCTAAACAGTAAAAACTAGAAAGCCAAACCGAAGAATCTCTTCTCTACACTTATTAAATATTTATCATAGCACTTCAGTGAGGAGGTCTCTGCTTGATAAAGTTTTTCAAATCAGCTTTAGCTGCTTTTTCCCACCTGCTGCATCAAAAACATCTGCTTTGTACTGCAAACTGCAGCCTGTAAGAGCAGCAAAAAAGGAACTGGAACGAAGGCATTTCACATTCTGTGCATGAAAACACTGATAACGGCTAGTGAAGTGAAACTGTAACCACTGCTGCTATGGAAATAAGGCATTTTAAATGCAGACAGGAGCAGAGCCAAAGGCCACGCCTCTTCCTGCTGAGCTGTGTCAGGGACAGGTGCAGCTGTGTGTGCGTGCGTGCGTGCGTGTGTGTGTGTGTGTGTGTGCGTGGAGGAGGGGGGTGTCTGCAATCACAAAAACCAGTAATAAAAGGGAAAAAAGAAGCAGTCTACACTGAGCTGTGTGTGAGAACCCTCATAAAGAGGCGGGCTCCTGTTGAACTCTGTTTTAAACACAGATCTTAGCTTCCCATGATCTCATCCAAAAGCTTTCCAAATCCCTTTTCCCTCTGAGCTTCACTCAGCCTACCTTCCACCCTTACCTCAGTGTAATCACTCCTCTATCTCCCTTAATGGCCCTCTCTTTTCTCCATCCAAAACCTTTCTCCGGTCTGTTCTGTAGAGCTCAAAACCATCTATTATGCCTCTTGATATCTGTGATGTAAGAACATCTGCCTCATAGCAGGAAAATGGGGAAAAAAGGTTTGGTTGCATGAGGGTATGAATGCACTGATAAGAACATTTATATATCGCTGTTATTACCCCAAATCTGAAATATTCCCTAACTGTTTCGACAAAGCTGACACTGTGCCTCTGCTTCAGGTCAGCTCATCACCAGACAAATACAATTCAACCAACCCCAACCACTTTCTCAAACACACACAGGCTGAAATAAGACGGAAATAAACTTTGATTATTAATATTAGCCCAGTTGTACTTATGGGACCGATTGAAAAATGACTAACATCAGTTAATACAAGGGTGCACTAATAAATTGGCCCCAGTTTCATGACTTTTGGGCGATCATCTGATACTTACATATATCTGATCCACCAATATTATCTCCCTCTGCACATGTCTGAAAATCCACCACTGTTGCCAACTTACCAACTTTGTCGCTCTACTTTGCGACTTTCCAGACGAAAAAAACTGATCAAAATTGGAATCAGCAGGTCAGGCTTTTTAAAGACTGTGATCGATCAGAAAAGTACAATCCATACTCTTATAGTCCACACGCAGAACAGCTGTTTGGTATTTTGTGTTTTGGATTTTTTTTTTTTTAGTTTTAAAGTTCGCTTTATTAGAACTGGGAAGCTTTTCTCCCAACAAGACGCACATCGATGGGTGGAGCCGGAGCTTTTGGTTTCACACTGCAACGGCTCTGCATCTAATGAGTTTTTGTTTATCTCCATAGCAACAGGCCTCATTCTGTAAAGCAGCTGGAAGTACTAACATACTTTTGTAGATATGAGGAGATTAGGACTCTTCTGAATGAGTGTCTTATGAGAAGCTCAGAAAAAAAACTGAAACATGAATCTAGTGGTAAGAAAAAATCTGGCCTATATTTCCTCAACGTTAAAGACCCAAACATAGACAGATGGAGTCTTCCCTGCATCTTCTTGCTTAATTTTGGATGTATTTTGGACACTCAACACAAAGCTGACGGAGGAGAGATGGAGAAGTTTGTGACTGAGAAAAGAAAAAGGGAGTCAGAGGAAAGTAAAGTAGGTGACTTTACTTTACAGGAAAGATGAGGAAGGTTTACTGTGAATGTAAAATGCTGTGCACTTTTTTCTCCCAATGAAATGTTAGCAATACTGTTGCACATTTTCCACAAAAATGTTAAAAAGCTATATACCTTTCAGAAAAGGACCAAGTTGATGATAAGTAACCAATTTACAGTTTTAAAAGTCTAAAATCTCAGTGAATCACTTGCACGTTTTCTCTTTTGGGAATCACAGACTAAGCAGTCGTGATTAAATGTTACAAACTGAATGTGGTAATTGTTTTAAGACTATAGTACAGTAAAATGTGACTGGCAACAAACTCAAATTTAAGTTGTTGCAACTCATTTTGTTAATCTGTCTTGATAAACAGGTGGTTTGTACAGATAAATAATTACATAATATCAGAATCTCAATAGTGTTTCAATTGGGATTTATGATACATAGACAAAAAAATGCGAACAATTCCACCAGTAGCTTTGAGAGCAGTGTGGTGTAGCATGACTTGTGTGTCATCAGCAAAAGGAACGAAGAAGATGATGAAAACAGAAACGGCTCAACGTCTCTATTACGCCAAAACGTGTGTGATTACACTACTGCATCTCGTTTAACGCCTTTCTGAAAATGCACATCAAGATTTCCTCCACTGTCATTATGTTTGCTGTTTTCCCCTGAATTCAGAAACAAACTCAGAACTTTATTTTAGTGACTAACAACATTGCAAACTTACATTAAAAGCATGAGTGCAATGATGCTTGACATGGTTAGAAACAGATGAAACTATTTCCACACACAGAGAAAGCTAAAAAAACGGCCCTGTAATGGGGCCCTGGTATTACAACATCCTCTGTGTAATGTTTTCTAGATAAGTATTTCAAGGTTCAAGGTGATCTTGTTCTGCTGTATAATATCTGTCTCAACCAAAGCAGTGGGAAAAGTTTAGTTTCTTCTCTCCCTTCCTTTTTTCACCTTCCTCCTCTTTTTGCTTGTAACCCAGGAGTTTCTCCTCTCCAGTTTCATCACATCTGTCGAATATCATCCTCCTCCCTCCCCGGCCTGCGGACTACACCTCTCTGCATATTTTCCCACAATACTCCACAATTACCCTTAATGTCTCACAAAATGCTAAGCACTAATGACAACCAGAACCCAGCAGCTCACACAATGTAACATAAGAATGGAATGAAAACAGGAAATCATGTGGTGGACTCAAACACATGTGCGCACACATTCTTCACCAGTACACACACACTCACACACACTGGAGGAGTTTCTCGCTGTCTCACACACTCTGCACTTGTGTACCTTGCCAGAACCTGTCACTGAGAGTCCATGTTGAATTTATAAAGCAGGATGGATTGGAGCTGCAGTGCGGCCCAGACTGCAGGGGGAGTAGCGTGCACTAATCTCTCACCAGAGGATCAGTTCACCACCAGCTGCTTGCCCCTCTCGCCTCGGACAGGGAGGGAAGACGGAAAGAAAGTCAAGGCAACCCAAAAACATTAGACCAGGCTTTTCAAGGCTTCAAAGCGCAGCTCCACAGCAGAGCAACGAGACTTTTCCATGACTTCTTCCTGAACGACCACCAGCGCTCCTGCGCATGCTAGAAGTGTAGCTCCTTCCTGGTTTGTTAATGTTTCTCTAAAGGAGGGGACAGGCTGCTTTTAACTGCAGGTGCCGTTGGAAACTTCAGGTGCAGCTGAGAACACGTGGCTCATTTAGCTGTGCTTTGTTTAAAATCTAAAATGAATTAACTGTGGAGGACACATTACCAGAATAGGGAAAAAGTCTACTCCTCTGCCTTTGATTTAAGAACAAATTCCTTTGAGCTTATGTAATCCCAAAAGGTGATTAGTTTTTACTTAAATACTAAAACAGCAGAAATCAATTTTTCCCCAAAAAGCAACACTCAGATCAGATGCAGTATTTGAACAGCTGTCAGTTTGTTAGTTGACACTAGAGATGAACTGATCTAATATTAATATCTGTATCAGTATATTGAAAAAAATAAAAATAAATCTAGATCAGGTATGAGTGACAATGTGCCCAAGATCTATTCAGATCTATTCAGTCTAATTCTATGCTTTTCACTCTGCATGTCTTATTTATTTTACATTACATTTAGAATTCCTAATTGTACTTTCTGAACAATTTGAAAGAAGGTTTGTTAAAGTTT